CGCCCCAAATCCGACAACAGCCGCTCTGTCTGGGGGGGGACTGTGGGGGGCCTCCAGCACCATGTGAGTTTGTCTCCAAATACGGGAACCCACAAAATGGGGTTCGGCTTCCACTTAGCTTTGATTAAAACGACCCAGAAACGGGCATCCAACTAGCAAAAAGCCGCGCTCATGCTCCTTCAAAGCAAGGGTCTCAGCCAGCTGCATCGTGTTGTGTGTGCGTGTGCATTACCTTTCTTGTGGCAGGCTCTTCAGAAACATGAGAGAACCCGCATGCCATGGCAAGAACCGGAAGGATTCCTGTATCCATGCCGGGCAGGCGTGTGGCCATGCTCAACAGCCCTTCTCATGGCCAGCAGGGGCCAGCGGGACATGTTTGCTGTCGGCTGGCTTTTCCTTCGGGATTGCCCCCTGATCCAGGTTGGCTTCCTTGGAGACCTATGAGACCGTGCCAAAGACTCGGCAAATGCAATTGGTCCGAGCCCATGTGTATTGCCTGTCAGTTGCTCTTGCATCTGAGTGTGACCTCTCTTCCTCTTGGACAAAAGGGATATTTCAGAGTTCCACGTTGTGTTTTCCAGAGGAGCACTCTCCAATTCCCAAATCACATGCTGTTGAGCCAGCGCGGCGCTAGATGAGCCATTGAGCCATGCTGGACACAATGCCAGGACCGTGCAACATCAAAACAGCTGGTTCTGCTGTGCCACGGTCAGAACTCGGTGCCCAAATAGGGGTTGGGAAAGTCTCAAGCATGCCCTCAGTGTCCTCTTGGGAAAACTGAAATCATTGGTAAAGTAGCATCCGGAGAACTCCTTCAGACACATATTGCTCCTCAGAATCCTTACAAGGAACGATGTAATCCCCAATAACCCCAACAGGAAGAGAGTCTTGTCGAAACAAATGTCTAAGACTCAAAGAAGGGCCCGACAACTGAACGGCCGCACCAAATCTACGATCCACTAGAACTCGTTTGCCACAGGGTCTGCCGAAACCAGACTCCCAGCAACAAATGCATGCAAATATGTTTCTTGTTCTCACCATCCCGCGGTACTCTCTCCAATCCAAATGGCTCCCGCGGATGCTTGAAGGAGGTGATCATTGTGCCTGCGTCCACCCCGCTGGGGTCAACCGACATCTCCGCTTTGTAATACAACATCCACGCCCGAAATCCAGATAAGGTATGACATCTCCCCGAACTGGTAGTTCTGTACTTCCCTCCAAGAAAGGGGTCAACCGGACATTTTCCAATTTCATGCTGAACCGCAGCAGAGAGCGTTGGTGATGCTGAACAGCAAGTTGCACCGGCCTCATCCCTCCCTCGGCTTCGGTTCGTCTTTTGCACGCGCAGATGTGAAGAAGGCTGGATGGAAAAAGTCAAAATCACACGTTCGGCTCATTCGCGCGAGAAGTTCAGACCCCAGCAGGATCACTGGATGTTTGGCTTGAGCTGCACAAATGGCGCTCGCTAGGTCAAATGAACCCCAAGGCGAAGGACCGCGTTGCTGGGATTTCCTCCGATGTCACATGGGATCCAGTGAGTCGCTCCAGCTCAAGGGCCTCATCCTGCTCAAGTCAACAGGAGGACATTGCTAAACCCGGAGGACGAATAAAATTTCGGATGATGAATTGGGAACCCTTCCCTTTTCGGGTTACTCCCATTGGTCAATGGTGTCACTTCATCCACTCAGGCAAGGACCCAGGTGCATGACAAATTTACTTCATGCCTGAAAGCTGTTCGAATGGGTTGCGATTGTTACAGCCCCATGAATCAAACAGCACTTTGAAAGTTGCCTGGAAGACCAATTGCCCTTTGACTAGTTGGGGTTGAGACTCCCTGCTTTGAAGCACGGCCCAACCCAAAACCACTCATTACAGGAATTCACCCCCTAAAACCAACAGGCGTGATGGTGCCAGCAAGTCATGTTCAGATCATTGGTGGAACTGGACGTGCACTGAACTGCACTTCACCTGGATCCCATGCTCAAATGCGAAGATCGCTGGCTGGTTTGCCAGAGGCTCACAGAGAAACAAGAGGCCAGCTGCCCCAAGCACGCTTGAAAGGCAAACTGCGATCTCTGAAGCAAAATGTGCGGCTTGGAGCAGCTTAAGTTCGAGCGCGCATGTCACAAAGACTCTGCTTGCGCAGGCCGGGGTCGGTTCCGACTGAGTGCTTTCAATCAATGCAGACGCATCTCATGTCCTAGTCTTGCCAGGCATGAAGGTAACCGTGCAGACCGCTTCCAGTGCTCCTGACTACATGAAGCGCCTGACAAAATGACGACATGAATTGTTTCTCCAAGAGAAAGGGCTGCTGGGCCACCAGACCCCATGCTGGTTACGCATTTCGAAACCATGGGGCCCTTTGATTCCCATTTTTGTTGGAGCATGTAAATAAATAAGGGGCCGCAAAAAGTGCTTAAAAGGGACACCAGTTGAATGCCCTTTGACTCCTGCGGCTACACGTTGGAAGCTGAACCACTATGGGAAGCACGCCGGATGGGCGCGACCGCGGCCGTGTTTTTCGTGGATTGGCACGGAAGCCGAAACGAGCCGTGCAGGGCTAAAGCGGGGACTCAGCCCCCGCTAGGCCGTGAAGTCGCTCAGGCGCAGAAGGCGCTGTCGCCAGCCTTCCGGAGGATGTCCACCTCGAACCAAAACCCAGGGGAAGACTCTGGCTGTGGTTTTGGGGCAAGCAAACATGTCATGGGGAAACTACTAAACATTGTTAGTCCTGTGGGCTGTGTGACTAAAGGATGGCCAAGGCCGATCCGCAGCTTTGGGCCAAAATTGGTCATGGACATCTGCTGGGTTTCCTTGGAGCTCCCTTGCGGTTTAATTTACCTGGGTGGGCCCCGCAAAAAAGACACGCTCAGAGTTGGCGAGTGTTCCTTTCGGTCTTGCTTAAGATTGGGGTGAGAGAGTCGCCCATGAGAACATTCGGAAGAGAGTTGTTCCCCCAGGATTGAAATTCAGGGGTGGGTCCCCAGGTCCCCACGTCTCACCTCGAATTCCAAATTGACCCGATCGACTTTCCTGACATCTTGACGAACATCTTCTGCCCAGACTGGGCACCCTGCTGAGTATTGGTTTTGTGCCCGTTCCTTTGTCTGGTTTCGACACACAGCCGTGGCCAAAATTCCTTCGGAAGTTCCTGGAGCCCCAAAACAATTGGCGGACCGACCCCATTGTTGCTGGGGCAACAAACCCTACAGTGGATGGACAAAATCCTGCAGCAGTTGGTAGGCGGTTATACCGGTGACAGTGCATTGTCAAAGCAGTCATCTGTCAATCGTTCCGTGATGACGAGGTATTCATAGGATTCCTCCATCTCGCCTGGTGCAAAGTGTTTTTTTCCATCCACAGTGAAGTCAATGCCCTCTGCACAGCTCCCCAACATCGGAAACAGGCGGTCCGAAATGCAGCCAGCTTTGTGAATCCCGATTGATCTGCTGCTCACATAGCAACTGCAAATGAAGCCCAGTGGACGAAAATAATCAGTTTCCATCGAAAATGGTCACATTCTTGAGGGTTCTGGCCACTGGTGTACCTCTGCCATCTGTGGCCCTGACCACAGACCTGAAGGCGAACCACTCCGGAATGTCCTCGCGTCAAGTCCGTGCAGCTTCTTTCTCAAACGGGACCCCGCTTTCCGCTTGGACGGCTGCCTCCCAAGCAGCCACACACTGCAACCAAAACAAACTAATACTGCTTTTGCCGTGGGTGCGATTAATTGGAGACCTCCCGTTTGGAAAAGTTGCCCAAAAAGGAAAATCGTGTCGACCCCGGATGAGTCAACCCGGCAGATTCATTCTGGGGAGTTCCCCGAAAAAGTGATATCCGGTCTCCGTCTAAAACGGAACAACTGCCGATTAATCAACCTGAGGTTCATTGATCCTGGATTAACTTTATAGCAAGCCAAAGGAACCCAGAACCTTCGAAGGTGTTCTGAGGGTACAGCTGGGTGAAGGTAGATGGCACCAACAACATCCACGCCGATCGGCGCCGGTTGGGATGCATGAAGCCCGATTTGCGCCTGATGCCGATCGGATTTGGTCCAGCGGAACACCCGTGGCTTCAGGTCTCCTCACCGGCGCGCAGGCGTCGGCGGAACTCGGTGCCCGACAGCTTCACGACCTCAAAAAGGCCATGGCTCAGACGGCACATTCAGATTTGTCTTCGGCCTTCGGGTGGGTTCCTTTGTCCAACTTTCTTTCTTTTTTTTAAAGGAGAAGGTGTCGTGTGTTGTGCCTTGACACCCTGTCAAAGGGGTCGTTATGTTTTTGCAAACCAAAAAAAGGAAACCCTGGTATTTGGTACATTGTCAGACACACCCCATTAGGTGCATGGCCATCTCCGCAAACCCCAAGTAAAGGGTGACCATGGCAATTTGTTGTCCAAGAGAAAGACTGAGGAGCGCGCCTTGTATCCCTTGGACTTGGCAATGCTCTCCTACGCGGCGCGAGAGCAGCGATCGCGCGGACATCGCGCGATGTGCTTCCTGGTTTCTGGCGCGTCTAATTACCGGGCCGTGTCAGTGAAAGGGAAAGCCAAGGAATCCCCAGAGATCCTTCACTATGTGTGAGCTCGTTTTATCTCCGATCGGTACGCTCTTGACAGCTTGCCCAGATACATGAGAGTATTCCACTTGCCCCACCCCTTGTTTGGATGGTTTCCAAGAGGTAACTCGACCACGAAAGGCGGGCTTCATATTCAGGAAACACCCTCTCTTGCAGACTTACCCGTGAGCCACCCAGCTAACCCACCAAGCTTCCAGCGGTGATTTTCGCTGGCTCGGCAGATGCCAAGTCACGTAGCTTCCTCGAGCCACTGATCTGGTCGGAAAAAGTCGCCAAGCACTTCGTAATTATTGCAAGCCTTCGCATTCGCTGGCTTGGACAAAATGGATCAAATTGGCACGGGGGCAGGGCCCCGTGCGTCGCAATTGGGGCCATGGCGCGCTTTTTGCGGGCCCCGAAATTGCAACTAGGAAGCACCGATGCTCAGCGCTCCAGCAAATCCGTCACCGACATATACCTCCCACGCGACGTTTTCACGAGACAGTCGGGGAGCCAAGGTCCCGTCCGTGATACTTGGCAAGGTCATCTTGGGCTTCGCTCCCTCACATTGTCGCAAGTGCTTTCAAGGCCCCAGTGCTGCCGTGCACAAATAGACCCACTGCACATGTTCCATCGCACAGGATTTCGGGGTGCCAGGACCAAACATGAATCTTGCCCTTGCCCAAGTGCTTTTTGCTTTTAAACAGCTAGGCACGACCTAGGCCGCAACAAGTGCTTATTGATATGAGCAAACAATCCTATTTGCAAAAGGCTTTCTTGCGATGTTTCACCCCTCCCTTTTTCTTTAAACAAAAATGTGAGGCGTACCAAGTCCCTACGAAATGAGCCACAAGCTACCAGCAACTCCCCTCCAAGCGACACTGGTCCGTCTCAAAGCAATGGAGACCCCTATAACTGGTCGATATCATGCTGGTTCCCTTAAACCACAAACAAACAACACACCGACACACACACACACATGCGCGCGCAAAAAGGGTCCAAACACTTTGCTTTGACAGACAAGTGAGCCACTGTCAAAACATAGTTACGGGTCCCTGAAGAGGAATCCTTTTGGCGGCTGTTTTGACCTTGATTGACGGGTTGACATGACCATCCTGATAAACCCCCTGCGAGCGACTCTATAAATACGCCATGAATCCCTATGTCGTGGAAGGCTGCTTACGCGCGAGCTAGCGCTTTGCTTACGCGACCGCATGTCAAGCTTACGCGTTGCTTGAGCGTCGGCGTTTTGAGAGCTCCCCCTCAATGATCGCTCGCACGGGCTCCTATTTCTGTACAACCGCCACTATTCAAACATCCGTGGATGAATCTGAGGAGGAGGTGGATGAAGAATTGCTGTCGGGCAGATCAACTTGGCGATGTCGTTCTTTGCATAGTCTTTGCGTGGACGCCCTCTTGCTCAGCGCTTTGGATTTTGGCCGACAGCTTTGCCTCCAGATTTCGTGCTGCCTCCACTGCGGATCAAGGAACGTGGCATGGGCAAGCAGGCAGCCGTGCAGGGCGAGCAAACGCAAACCTTAGGCGCGCCTGCTTCTGCCTGCTTACGCCCCTCGGCCCCCTTACTTTTGCTGAATCTGCTGTGCGGAAATCCTTGTGTTTTGGCAATCCGACGGCCAAGCCCCCGACATTCAGCAACTTTTGCAAGCAGTCGCGAAGCAGGTGCTTGCACAGCCCGTTTCCCCAAAAAGTGCTTACGCTGGATTACGATGTGCAGGGTTTTGCTTACGCGGGCCTTCCCGTGACACAACTCTTGCTTGGCACGTGACAACTCAAATTCAGGGTCCTCCCCCCTGTCCAAGTCATGATATTTCGCACGAAAGGGGAACCACCTGTCAGTTTGATCATCCCGATGTAAAAGTTGACATTTGCGGGGAGTCAACTATGGGGTACGTAAACCAATATGACTTGCTTCTGTTCAGCTGAACCATGGCACAAAGGTCTTTACCTTTCTGTTGAGAGACCTCTCCCAAAATAGGCTGTGTGTCTTTGACTTCTCCTCCGGCTTGGAACATGAGCTTTGAGCTAGTTTTGGTGGCTTGTGGCAAGCCCCCACAACCAATCCCTAACCAGGAGTGTTGACTTTGGCAAATTCGAGCGGTATTTTATGTCAAACAACGAGAGGGTTGGAGCAATTCGTCTCCTTCGCGAGGGGTGTGCGCCTTCTTTGAGTGCATCCTTGTTGTCGGTGGTTTTACGGAGAAACCGTTTGTATTACTATTTCCGGCTAGGGCTTTACCCGGGTCAGGTGTCTGGCTGGTTGCTTGCTTGGTTGGTAGGTTGGTAGGTTGGTAGGTTGTTAGGCAGGTAGGCAGGTAGGCTGGTTGGTTGGTTGGTTGGTTGGTTGGGCGGCCAATCCCCGGCCTCGCTCGGATCTAGGGCTGCCTATTGGCTTTGATTTGATTTGGTGGCAGTTGAGGGTTGCTCGGGGCTTGTTTCGGGTGAGTGTTGGTCTTGCTGAGATCTGAATGAGAGCCGGTCTTGGGTTTGTGTGTGGGGTTGATTTAGGCGGCAAAGGGCTGATAGCCGGGATGCTGCTGGGAGGGTTTAAGGTTGACTTTGGGTCGGCTTGGGTTGGCTTAGAGCTGATTTGCGCTAAGTGTGCGGCTCGCTTTTGCCGTGGCTTTTGGATTGCTTCAGGGTGTGGTTATTTGCGGCCTGTGTGGGTTATGGTCATGGCTCCTTCAATAGGAATCATCCACTACCAACTCTTCAGCGAGAAGGTCTTTAAGTCTTTTGACCATGGCAATGGCACCAACTTCCATTGCCCTGCATATAGTGGTTACCTGCAGTGTTTTGCCTGGGATCCACTGACTGACTGACCGACCGTCACATTGACTGCACTGGACCAACCTATACAAAATGAAAGGAGAATGGCTCTTTGCAACATGAAAGGAGAATGGCTGGCCACCTGCTAAGGGATCTGCTGGGAATGACAACCATGAACCCATGGCCATCTGGGTCTCCTTTGAGCACTGGCTTCCCTTAAGCTCCTTAGTCTTTTCTGGCCATGGCAAACTAGCGTTTCTGCGATCGACGTCCCATTATTGAAAATGCGTGAGGAAATGCCTGGTTCTGAGCAAAACCATCTGACATCTCGATCCCTGTGATTCCATGGCCACAACTCCCAGCATTCCAGTTGCCTGCATTGGGTAGGGCGCCGCTGGAATGATCTCCTACTCACCCCAAACTTAAACTAACCTTGAAAGACCAAACTGGGAAAAACCAAAAGTTCAAAAGTCTGCGCTTCGAAAATACAGGAAGCCTAAGCCTTGTTCGCTTGGGGGTCCGTTGGATTCGAGTCGCATCCGCTGCAGCAGGCGCTGATAGATCTCCTGCGCTCTTGGGTGGGAGGCCGGAAAGCCGTGGCCGTCCTCGTGCTCGAGCCTCGGTAGCCGAAAGGCTCCGTTGGTTTCGTTGGTTTCGTTGGCGCAACCCAGCGCCGGCCAAAACACACGCTGTGTCGTTTTGTGTTGAGTTGGTACCATTTTGGGGGGGTTGGTTTAAAGGGAAACCAAAGGAAACTTGCCCATTTTGGAGGTACCCCTATTTTGAGGAACACCATGAAACAACCATGCTTTGTCAATGGACCCAGGTTTTCATTGTACACATCAGCCCCTGTCAAAATCATAAGGGAATACGCAACTATCCCAAGGCTTCTCCAAGGGTCACACCAAACGGAAGAATTGAGGATAAGGGACCCCTCCAAGTAAAGGATCATCATGTGTGACATCACTTGATTTACCCCAAAATGAGTCACACAACGGTACTAAAGTGATCCACCCAAACCCATGCACAGAATCAAAAGTGCAGATAATATATCTGCACCTATTTATGGCAATGGGGACTGTCCCTTACAAACCTTCACATACGCCCGGGTTTCAATTGTTGTACCCAGTTGTTCAGCAACCCTGGTGGAAAAAGAATTGAAACCCTTTTTGGCTGGCTGATTCCACTTTTGGACAAACAGGGATTCTCAGGGTGAGAACCGGGCAATGGGCATCCCGGGTTGATTGCTTTGGGGATTTGAACCACCCCCTTGGGATCGTTGCAAAGGGACACCACAAGGGACAACCGCCATTTTTGAGGCTCCCCGCATAAAATAGACACCCAAACACGTAATTCGCCCGGGCGCATCTCCAGCTCCCGGTACATCTTCGGCACCATGCGCTCCCCGTGGCGGCCCCAGGGGTCGGCATCGCCCCCGTGGATGTACCTCAACATGCAGAAAATCCGAGGAAAAATCGCCCAACCCCGAAAAAGGGGACCCCAAAACAGAGACTCCTCCGTTTAAACGAGATGGGTGCTTTGGGGATTTAACTCTATCTACATTTATGTGAGTATTGGGCTGAAGAGGAGTAATTCTCGAACACAACAAACATGTACCATGGGCGAAATTGGGCCCCCAGAACGGTCGGCAAGCAGGAGGAAACCCAAAAGGGCCGGAGTCCCAACTCGAGACGCAAGCTCAGACCTCGACGGAGCAAACTCAAGGGATTGCCATCTGGAGGAACCGGCGTCCAGCATGCTCAAACTGTCAGGAAGCAATGCCTCAAAACAAGCCCAAAAGGAAGCCAAGTGGAAAAGGGCGTACGTAGCTGTACAGGAGGCATTCTACAAAGTTGGAAACCATTCTTCATGGCCGTGGGTCGCTGCAATGTTTGATCCTTCCAGGGGCGCAAAAGTAGGCATTTCGAGATTGACCCATATGCCAAAAATGAGTCCGGTGTTTCCCCTACCCTGGAAAGGGTACAAAAGAAGACACCCCCATCTAGGGTCTCGTGTACTTGTAAGTACGTGCTAGTGTTCAGCAAAGGGTAGTCCCTGTCAAAGCCATTAACAAATGGTAGTGTCCATGTGCTTCACACTTCAAACACCCGCTAACAAAATGGTACCCTTAAAGAAATATGCACACACACACACAAAGTCTCCCTCCAAAACAGAAATATGCAGGGCAAAAGAACCCCCGTCGGCATCGCAGCCCGGGCGCAGCGCCGCGTGATCCAGCGGCTCCTGGAGCGCGTAGCGGGGGTCGTCGATCATGGAGCCGCAAACCAACACGCTGAGGCGCCAGGGGATGGGGCGCTGCGCCTGACGCGAGAAAAACGCCATCCGACAAATGCGGAAAAGTGGCGTGGGAAACTCCGTTTTGCGAAAGGCAACCGCCAGGTTCGAAAGGACGCTTAGGGGTGATGATCGAAGCCAGAACCGTAGGGTCCATATGTGCTCCTGTAGATAAGCAAAATTCTAACACCCTTTTTCCGGGACGGAATCTCCTTTTCGGCGTCCAACAAGAACATTTGGAGGGCAGGTTCCCTGCAATGGCCCTCGATCACCCCGAAAAAGGGCACCCTCAAACAAAAACCCGCCTGGCTATTGAAAAGGTAGAAGCCACGGGTCTGTCAGCATTTGTGTTGGCCCCTGTGCCATGGTCAACATGCCAAATGCTCATGTTGTTCTTTTAACCGCCAAAGTGACTCATAGGGCTTCTTCTTTGATGTACCTTCCTATTTATACAAACAAGATGTGTAGAAACTAATGGTATGGGACGATGCAAAAACATGAGATACCACGGGTGATGCTAAAAATCCGTTCTTGAATGTTTTCCTGCACAATACCAGGACACGGTTCGGATGCGGCCACCCCTGCAAGAGTAAAGCAAGAGGCTCCAGGGAGAAGAACAGGTGGAATCCCCACAAAGCGCATCCAAACCGTTTTCTGCAGCTCAGAAGCCCACTGGCCATGAGAGAGAGAGAGAGTGAGGGAGCACCCTTTTTGGGTGGTTGACTGTACTCTTTCAAGGGGAAACAAGGAGACGGAATCCACCGGGATGGGAGATCTGTTCAGTCCTGACAAGATGGCTTTGCTTGGTGGCTCGATTGGTAGGGAAGCACCAAAGGGCTTGGGAATGAACTGGAAGGGAATCCACTTACAGTTGGGTGAAAGTAAGTGGCACAATTCCCTCATTTTCGTCTAGTC